CCGTGGCGGGGCGCTCCCGTTAAAGGCGTGTGGGCGCGGAGCTGGAGAGGACACCTTCAGCATCGCTGCCTTTTGGAGGGGGCTTGTGGCAACGACTGAGTCATTCCAGATTGAGGATTCCCTAAATAATCACCAACTGTGCCGTCTGGTGCCGGGGAGCTAGCGGAAAGAGAGAGCGCCCGCCCCGGGGACGCCGCGGATCCCTGGAGCCAGCCTTCGGCGGGCGGGTGGCTCCAGGAGGGGTGCTTGGTCCTCCAGGATCTCCCTCTCCCCTCCCTTCTCCCCACCACCCCCTTTCGCCTATTGCTTTCTTCGCAGCCCTGCTGGCGGGGAGTCGCGCTTCCCGCAGCTGGCAACAGCTGCCCGCGTCCCTATCCAGGCTCCCGCTAACCGCTCCCACCTGGAGGCTGGGAATTCCAGAGCTGGGGCTGCCGGGCCCCGGAGAACCGCAGCCAGGGCGATGCATTCCGGAGCCCTCACCCCGCCGCCGGGACGGACCTCCTCCTCTCCAGACCTGCTGGCTGCGGGGAGTTAATTTGCTGCCTTCTTCCCCCCTTTTTCTTGCGGTTCGTGGCTTGTTTTCTAAAGGAACGCTCTATTCACTTTTGTATCTTCTACCGGGGACTCCACTTGCCTCGGTGCGGACTCTGCTTTGTAAACGGGGTTTCTAGGTGTGCATGTGCACCTCTACTTTGGACACCTTACCGCGCGTGCGCCTCTCCCCAGGGGGCACGGCTTATTCCTGTGGACATCCTCCTTCCCCTTCCACTGGGTACCTTGAACGCAGTGTGTGACCCAACTCCCCACTGCCCATTGGACACGGATCACCTAGTGATGCAAGTTTGGGGTGCAAACGTCTAGTTACTTGGAAGGCCTGGGACTGCCCCGCCCCTGGCGCCGGCGGTCCAGGGAAGTTTACATCTGGATTTTCACACCTTGTGTCGCCACTGCCCAGACTAACTAACCTGTGTGGGCGCCAGGTGTTTGGTACTGCGGCCTCCTTCAAATTAGCACTGCCTCCCAGCACCTGCCTTGTTCCCTGCGGCCGTCGAGGTCCTGCCCCAGGGCCCAAGGAGCACGATCCGGAATTTGCGGTGGAGTCTGGGGCCTGGGCCTCTACCTTGAGCAGCCATGGCTGCGGCGATAGCCAGCTCCCTGATCCGGCAGAAGCGGCAGGCGAGGGAGTCCAACAGCGACCGGGTGTCGGCCTCCAAGCGCCGCTCCAGCCCCAGCAAAGACGGGCGCTCGTTGTGCGAGAGGCACGTCCTCGGGGTATTCAGCAAAGTGCGCTTCTGCAGCGGCCGCAAGAGGCCGGTGAGGCGGAGACCAGGTCAGTAGAAGCCTACAGAGTTGAGTTTCAGAGGCTGACACCAGCCTTTCCCTTCCACAAGAACCCAGGGGTCCCCGTGGAAGGGAGCCAGACCCCCATTTCCCATCCTGGTGCCTTTTCACTAATTCCAGGTGTCTCTAACCATCCTCTCTCTGCCTGGTACATGCTTCTCCACCCCAATCTGTAGGAAAACACGGTCCACCCTGACGATTCCATGGCTGGACTAGGAGACTGTTACTACAGGTGTAGACTCCCCTTGTTGAAATCGCCCATGGGGTCCTTGAGGGCAGTCTAGCCGCATCTCTACCTCTACCTGTCTAACCTCTTTTCTATTTTCTCTGTTTCTCTTATCCACCCATGCATCCATCCATCCTGCATATGAGGAACTACAGTGAAATAAAGCTTCCTGTTTGTATTCTTCACAATAGTTACCATAGTACTGTATACATAATAGACACTTAGCTGATTCTAGATAAACTTATTCTCCCCTTGTCTCTTTGTCCTGCAACACAAGGTGCCATGGACAGCCTTTCAGGCATCCCTATCAATTTCTCATTTCTTCATTTTCCTATATGCCCTTCCACTTCCTTTTATACCCCACCTCAGCCCCCTTTCTCTCTTCTCTTTCTCTAACCACTGCCTGTAATGGTTTCCAAGAGCCCTTATTAACTTTTCAGTCCTATTCTCTCCTCCCTTTGCACATTCACACTTCCAGAACAGCGAAAGATGTGCAGTTTTGCTTCAGAGTATGTTAAGAAAACATTGTATTTCTCCGAATGTCTCATGGCTTGGCCATTGGGAAGCTGATTGCCTTCTGAGGACATCAGTTCAAATGGTTGGTCTTTTATATGCTTCTCTGTGAAAAGGGGAAATACCTGGCTGTCTTGAGTTCCAGCATGATGATTCTCAGCTCAAGCCAGGCCAGTGCCCCAGTTTGAGAGAGTAAGAGTAGAATCGCAGAAATCTATGCACCCTCCAGACTTGATTGATCTTTCCAGGTGTGGCCACAGTCTCATTTGCAATCTACAATTACTCTCAAGGTGGACAGGTGAAGAGAAATCCTATCTGTGAGGCTGCTCTGTGCTCAGTTGACTGGTTTAGGTTAACATCTTGATAGTTTTGATTATTGTCTCTTCTGAGTGAGACACATGGACTAACTTCACTGGGGTCAAAACACCATAACAAAACATCTGCCAACTCTGAATAGGTAGCACTGTGGATTAGCTTAGAAACTTGAGATCAAGCCATGTGAGAAAATCATTTCATTTCATTTGCCCATCCTGTTTTCATGATATTAATCTCTCCACAGTGGGCTTATTTCCACATTCTGTGATGTTGAAATAGTAAATTTCAGGAGTAAAAAAAATGATTACCCAGTAGTGACCCAAGGCAAAAGCTACTATGTACTCAGTTGTTTATATCCAATTAATATAGACCGCTCATGATATAAAATGGCTATTTGTGCTGAGACATAGTTATTTCTGCACAGTAAATAATTTATGTTAAGAGAAAAGCAGCTCCCTATTTTGTTGTACAGGGATCATTTAGCGGCCACCTTCTCAGGCCTTTTGTGGCCTACAAGGGACCTCAATACCCTGAGTTCAATGCAGTTCTTATTTGTGAGTTTCTGAAATTCTTGCACTCGCGTTGCAGTGATGATGTGATACTTCTGAGCAGATCCTACTCGGTCTCCTCAGTTCAAAACAAAGTAATAAGTGTGACGAGGTGAGTGCAGTCTATCTATTTAACAACATAATCCATCTGTTGTCTTAATGTGAGTATGAGTGAAATAACTGTAGGAGTAAGACCTGGTAAACGCTGGGGGACAGTTGGTCTGAGTTTTGCAATGGAAGGATGAGCTGCGTTGTTTTCTTTCTGAAGCCCTTTCCTTAGCATCTTGTTTGAATAGAAAAATGGAGGAATTGCCAAATGTATTGTTTTCTTCAGCGTATGTTTAATCTGCTCCTCTTTTTTCATCTACTTAGTGTACATTTTGGCAGAGAAATTCCTGCTTGCTAACTCCCTGTAACTATAATGTCACAGTGATCACCAGGCAAAGAGTTGGCAGGAGTCGAGGTCCTCATTGCCAGGGCAACATGCGTGTACCTGGGCAACATAGACTTCAGTTTGCGCTGAAGGCTGCCTTAGAAGCATGGTGATGGGGTAGGGGTGGGGGGTTGCAAAAGCTTTTTAGAAGATGATACTGTGCTATTATCATTACTAACAAAGCCAAATAATTAATCAGTTGATTTGCTGTCAGCTACCATGATTCACATTGCATGGGATGAGCCTATTTATAGAGAGATTGCACCTTCCACATCTTCATTCCAGATAGGATTCTTGAGCTGTATTTGAGTGGTTGGGGGAGTTGCTAAACTCCCAACAAGAGAGAGAAAATGTTAAGTGAAATGAAACTATTTGAAGGAATCAGTTTTATAAGAAGCACTTTGATATGATGCTCAGTTAATACATGAGTTATTCCGGCGATTACTAGCCTTTCTACGCTGCATCCTTGTGGGTACAAACTGAGCCACAAATGGAAAAGAAGTGAAATGCAATGAGTTGGCTTGATAAGGAATTTACACTCAGAATTTTTGTCACTGAGGCACACTGCCCCAGAAGTTCTAGAATTAGGCTCCGGCGTGTGCTTATGTATGATGGGAGAACTTGTGGTTGTGTTTCTCATCTCAGCACTGACACCTTCAATATCTCTCTGCCTCTTTTCGTAGCTCATCTAGTCCTAATATCTGTAATGGGGAAACTATTACACAGTGGGGATGCTTAAACTACCTTGGTAAAGGGCGCAGCATTTAAAGCTACAGTATTGTAGGATAGGGTCCTGAGAACTGGCAGGAGAGGACCTCACATCACCCAGCCCTAGGGACATCACACGTGTAGGCTACCCTGTGAGCACTGTCCCTAGAGCACAATGTGATTGTGTGTCACGGGATTGTGCAGGCAAATCCTGACCTTTAGAGACACAAAACCCTAGAGCCAGTGCAAGCTTGTGATCTATACAAGTTTACAAACTAGTTTGTGACAAAATTGAGACTAGAACTAGATTCAAATGGCGTTTCTTGCTTGTGCTTCCCAACACAAGGCACGGGAAATGGAAGTCCTATCAAGAAGCATCCTGTTCATGGTGCATTTCTACCCGCCTCCCCGGATTAGGGGTTGCTATTCTTATTCTCATATGGAGGAGATTAAGGGAGGCATAGGGCAAATTAGGCAGTTAGAGTTCTAAAACTTTTGTGTTCTAACTAGGTTTCATTCAGAAGGAAATCCAGTAGTGAAGACATGGGAAAGATTGCAGGGCAAGAGAGCTCCTCTTCAGCACCATGTAGGCTGTTTGCCCTTTGGAAATAGGCATTGTTGATCTTGAACTGGCAAGCTGACTGAGGTCATGCAACCCTGGTCAAGGCTTGATAAGATTTCTGTTGTGCACTTTCCAATAGAGGAGCAATTAGGGTCTTAATGTGAGTATGAGTGAAATAACTGTAGGAGTAAGACCTGTTAGAATAAGTAATTAAATGTTGATGCCATTAACCTTGCTGTAGTTATGCTATTAATAGAAGCCCAAGTGGTGAATGTTTACGTCCTTGGCAGCTAACCAGAGGTCAGTGGTTCAAACTCACCAGATACTCTGCAGGAGAAAAGACCCTGGGGTCTGTTCCTGTAGAGATTGCAGCTAGGAAACCCAGACAGCCTAGTTCTACCCTGTCACACAGGGTCGGAAGTGATTTGCGGGCACTGAACAACCAGAGCAATAGCAGCAGGTCATTACTATAGTCTAATGCCTTCAGTGGCATATTTCATCCCACCATTTGCTTCTGCAAACATTGGCTCCATACTTATTTATGTTTGGACTTCGCAGTGAAAACATTTGTAATCACAAGAGGGAGAGGTGTTTATACAGTCTCTGGAATGTCGGAATGTCTGGACTGTGGCAGGTAGCTAGTATCATTTTTTACATCAGATTTGCTCTAGAAAGTGACAATGCAGCTAGACCATCTTGGCAGTTTTTGGTATATCTTTTTTTTTCTGAATAGTTTAGCGTCCTCCCTCAAATCAGAACATTCGGATAAATAAATGAATAAACAATTAGGTAAAACCCCTCATCTAAATAACATTAGATATTTTTCATGATCTAAATATTTGGTTTTATATGCACTTCCACTTTTTGAAATTATGTAATGTAATTACATTAAGTGAATAAAATAAATCAGTGATTGTAATTTTACCAGATTTTGTTGACTCTTATTTGTCTTATTTTTGAGCCCTTGTCTGTTGTTATAAAAATTCAGGTAATTAAAAATATTTCAGTGTTCTTCTAATTTGTTTTTGTGGATGTATAGTATTTAAGCACATTCATTTAACATTTTGCTATCAAACATTTTATATAGAGGAAGAAAATATAACAGGAAGTAGAATCTTTAAAAAAATTACAGGAAAGAAGTAATGATCAATTATATAATATATAGGCTATCGATGATTTAGATTAATATAGATTATTTCTTTTATGTTGAAATGTAAGCCAGCATTTAGACCAGATTCCTTATAAAAGGTGATTTTTTTTGCATTCATAGCAAATAATTTTATTGTATTTTCTATTTTAAATTGTGACTCATACTTGAACTACAAAATTAACTAATTACATGGTATTTGCTTTGATGTTTGTGGAGGGCAAAAACAAAAAACCCAAAACAAAAACCAAGCCTTTCCCTCCAAAAATCCACTGTGGGGCTTAAATGGATATTTTGTATATTTTTAAAATCGTATTTTTCCCTATATCATTGCATTTGCATCAACAAATGATGTCTGCATTTTAAAATAGCAGCTACTGCAATCTCTTGATGCCTTTGATTCCACAGAGATCTCCTCAAAGAATGACTCAGGATTAAGTCTTTAAAGTTTTAATGAAGTATGTATTATTGAGTCGTAGAATGAGAAAAATACTTTGCTGGAAAGCGGGCAATCTCTGTATTTGAGGAAGCAATGGG